AATCTTACTAACTTTTGCTATTTCACTGCATTCTGATAGGATTGTTGTCTTCCTTATTTAGAGGGATATTTTTGGCTGCCCTCTCCAGCTACCTGCTCTAAAGTAAGTTAAAAAAAGAGACCGAAATAATGAGCGTAAGAGAATTCATTTTCCAAAAGTCAAGTCTCTTAAGGAGAATGATGTGAGAATACAAAAAAGGAGGAAAGAAAGTTAATAGCTGTTCACTCAAGTCTCCATTCTGACTTTTCCACTGAAGGATTTTAAGTCCTTGGAAATATGTTATACAACACCTTCAGGTCCAGTGTATGTATGTATGTGTGTGTGTGTGTGTGTGTGTGTGTGTGTGTATGTATGTATGTATGTATGTAGCATAAACAAACAAACAAAAACAAGCCTTTGGGAAATTAGGGTTTTGGTAATTCATCACTGTTGATTCACACCACCATGGCTAAAATGGCCTAACTCAGCTAGGCTGGGGTTTGGCTTAGTAGACAGTCTGATTCCTCATACTGGGATGTGTTGGCTCCTAATGCAATGCTTCTGAGCAGGAGAAGGGCCGGCGAAGAAACCGGCCAAATGGAGGAGATCCTTTTTCCTGGTTTGGGAGAGATGAGTGTAATGTGATGGCCTAGACAGCAAAAGTCTGTGGGTACACATTTACCTTCCCACACTCAGCCCTGCCCCTAGGTCAAAATCGCCTTCTGGTTGACCTGTTTAGCATTGTATCCCCTTGTTTCTTGGTTAATGCAACTCGAGTGATCTTTATTTGTGTTCTGTGTTTCCCTGGGCCTAGCTTCACTCCCAGCCAGCAGGACTTCCCATTTGGGTGCTAAATAAATACTGGATGGATGGATGGATGGATGGAAGGGAGGAAGGAAGGGAGGAAGGAAAGATGGTAGGAAGGAAGGAAGGAAGGAAGGAGGGAAGGAAGGAAGGGTGGATGGATGGATGAAATCATCCAGAACCACTTCTAATCAAAAATCTTAAACTCCCAATATTCTGACTGCGACCTTTCCACCTTGCAGTTTTCTGGCTATCCTGTTTTCCTTCAGTCTTCTCCTCAGTAGACCCACCTGACATCTCTTTCTTCCTTTCCTCATCGAGGGCATCCCTGATCCTTAGTTCTGCTGTGCCTGCATAGGGAGGGAAAGCCACCCGTGGATCAGTCCATCCACATTGCCCCCGCCTATACCCCAGCCCAGGCAGTTACGCATGACTGGGGGTTATACTGTTGTGACGGGTTAGCACCACCTGCTGGGTATAGATGCAGGACTGTCAACACTGCAGGCAAATGGATAAGCTGCCTCTCTCAGTCCCCACAAGAGCTATTTACACGGTTTTGCCATTCTGCCCACCCCTCCACCTCCTGTCTACTTAAGAGAGAAAACAGTAGCCATCAGACAGGAACTTCCTTAACTTCCTGTGCCTCTCCCTGGCCACCTGCAAACTCATCTCCTTCCGCCCCTTTCTTCCCGCTTCCTGTCTCAGAGGATGGGGCGGGACTCCTCCTCTCCACGCTAAGTCTTCACCCTGCTTCCTTCAGAATCTGCTTCCCTCCTGACTTCCTGGAGACCCTGCTCCTCCCGTATCCCCTCTTCCTCCTGCATCTATAACTATTTCCTCTCTTCTGGCAGTATTCTCTCAGATTATAAATGTGCTCAAGCCTTTTTCTTTAAAATAAAATTTAAAAAATTTCAATAGCCACGCCCTCCCACTCCCCTTCCCACCCCTGCCAGCCTACGTGGAAAGCCAGTCTTCAGTCACTGTCTCTAACTTCTTCTGTCCCCACAGCTCAAGTGGACTTTCTCCTTTAAGGTCACTGGTGCCCACCCAGGGGCTAACGCCACCACACACTTGCAAAACCCTTCCTTCTGTGGTTTCCCTGTGGCGTGTGATGCTGTTCATCGCCCTTTTTCTTGAACATCTCGCATTCCTTGGCCTGCCTGACTATGTTCTCCTGAGTTCCATCCTTTCTCTCCTTGGAGGACTCTTCTCTCTTTATCTGCACCTTAAAGGTTGGTGTTTTTGTGGATTTAATCCACGAACACCATCTGTGTCTCCTACACTCCAGAACCTTCTCATCCACTTCCATGGGTTAGCTGGCCATATCTCTGTGCATGACGGCCAGATTTGCATTTCTAGCCCAGAACCCTTCCCAGCGTACTGAGCACCGTGGATTAGCCGACACGCCTCAAACTCAGTGTGTCCCCAATGGAGCTGTGTATCCCGCCTCCGTCCAATTCTTCTGTGAGCAGAAACTAGCTTGCCTTGACTTCTCACACTCACCCTCCACATCCAAATAGTTGGCTGCGTGACTGGTTAGTCCCACCTGTGTAATAGGTCTTCAATCTAGGGGATTTGAGCCAGAGGTGAGCAGCAGAACCATGTCAGGTTTTTCTTAAGATGTCTAGGGTAGACCCAGGGCTTTTTTATGTGTTGAAAAATTCCATGTCCCAGCCATACTAAGCTACATATAGTGTCTGAATACACCTGTGCTTTTTTAAACAGTTGTTTTTGAAGATATTTTAGGCTTCCAGAAGCCGTGCAAAAATAGTACAGAAAATCCCCATATGCCCTCCCCCCAACTTCTCCTTATGTTACCGTCTTACATAACCATAGCACATTTATTGAAACGAAACGAACCTTGGTACAATACTGTTAACACAGAACGTATATGGGCTTCACAAGCTTTTCCACTACTGTCGTTTTTCTATTCTAGGGGCCAGTCCAGGATCCCACATTGCATCTAATTGCCACGTCTCCATAGCTCGTCACACGTGTCCTTTTGCGCCCCCAGTGCCTTTATATGTATTGTTTCTCCCACGTGATATGCCTTTCGCTCCCTCTCCTGCTTCGTGAGCCTCTTGTTCCTTATGGTTGAGGTGAAAGAGCCCCGTTCCCAGTAGCCGTCCTCCCCTCCCCTGGCAGAGCTGGAATCCAGTGGTAACAGCTTTGTGGTCAGTATTAACAGACAAGTGCAGAAGTCAGACATGTAATGACCCCAAAGACAGGGGCTGTGTTTATTTCCTTGTTACCTTCTTAACACTGAATGGAAGGACTGGCAACGAGTAGGGATTTAATAAGCACTTAATAATGACCTGAAGGATGGCCAATAATATTGAAAGAGTCCCTAAAAGAAGGTATTTTGTTGCCATCACTATTTAAATCTGGTTTTGAATAACTGGTAATGTATAGTTCCAACTGAATTGTATTTTTTTAATTTAATTCTCTACTTCCTGCAAATTACAGACACCATCATTTGATTAATATCTTGTTAATTTCTGGACCAGTTGATTTGTGAATGCATTGTAGGTGTTTATCTCTCAGTCACACACCTTGCATTATTGGAGACACTACTTTCCTGGGACATTATTTCTACCCAAGCATTGCAGTGCTCTTCACATGTCCAGGACAGTGCTCCAAAACGCAGCCAGGGCACTAGGCACCATTCATTACTGGTTTTACTTCTGGGCAAAGAAATAGACTGTGAGCCATGCTATATGATCTTACAAAAGAAAAAGACTGCTGCTAAAACTGCACTAAAAATCCTCTGAGCTCTGCCTGTTCATCTCCCTGCCACCCCTGGTAACCCCTCACCTTTTTGCTATCTCCATAGTTTTGCCTTTTCCAGACTGTCATAGGGTTGGAGTTACACAGTATGTAGACTTTCAGATTGGCTTCTTTCACTTAGTAATATGCATTTAAGCTTTCTACAGGTCTTTTCATGATGTGATAGCTCATTTCTTTTTAACACTGAATACTATTCCATTGCCTAGATATACCACAGCTTATCCATTTGTCTACTGAAGGACATCTTGGTTGAGATTACATATAATCATATAATCAAAAGATATATATATATATATATATATATTTATATCTTTTTCAGTTAATGATTTTTTTCAAGCACTAAATTTCTGTCTCATCTAGAACTTAGTCAATGTATGAATCAAAAAAAAGAATTCTTTTAGCAGATTTGTTTCGATCTGTGGCCATACGTTGCATCTGGCTGTCTATCTCTTAAATATTGTTTAATCTAGTACAGTCCCTTTGGACCCCATACTTGACTTTTAGAAAGCCAGGCCTCCCGCAGACAGCGCCCCCTTCTGGGATTGTCTGGTTGCTGTCCCTCGTGCTTCCTGTGAGGCGCAGGTGACTCTGTGGGTGTCATGGCGTCCGGTTCGGCATCTTTGGGAAGCGTGCATTGCAGATGGGGTTGCCTTTCTCTGCACCGCCCTGCACTGCTGTGATGACAACCCGATGCCCCCCGTGCAGTGCCGCTTGTCCTCTTGCCAACAGACAGGAATCTGTAGGCTTCTCCATTGGCACCATGGATGTCTCTTTTCCTCATCCATAACTTTCCTGTTGGTCTTAGCACTAAATGACAACCCTTAACTGAAGATGGAATTATGTTAGGGATATGAAACTATGTGTTTTAAATCTAATTCCATGTACATTTGTTAGCTGGCATTTTCGGCGATGTAGAGATTTCCATATATATTACAGTAGGACTATTAGATGACCCTGAAATATTTCCTTTAGTTGCCAGCTCTCAAAGTAAGGAGTTGTTTAACAGCTGCCCCTGATGAGACGTTGAAAGAATTGAACATGTGGTTGCAGTGCTGTGGTCACTGCCGATATGATTTCTTGAGCACTTCCACTGTATGAGGCACTGTGTTAAAGCTCATGCATTCTCTGGTCTTAGGATGACGGCACAGGGAGGTTTCGGAGATAGAAATGGAAGTCTCGAGTGCTTAAATAACTTCATACAGTCACTCGTGTGGGAAGTGACAGCTGCGATAGAAACCCAAATAGGCCCCAGTCCAAAATCCATGTTTCATTCCTTCTATACATTTTGGTTGCATTTTTTTTACTTAAAAGCCAAATTCTGTTTGTAATGCCGTTTCGACAGTTTCCCAGTTCCCAAACACTAGAAGTGGTAACCATGCTTAATAATTCTCATGAGCGCTCTCTGTCTCTCTCTCTAATATTTTGAACAGTGTGAAGAAAACACCAATCTTCAGGATGCCACCCGCTACCTCAAACTCCCCTTTTCCAAGGGCATTCTCCTTGGGAACAATAATCAAGCCATGAAGGCCACGAAGGAGTCTTTTTGGATAACATCTTTTCTCTGCTCCACAAAACTCACACAGAACGGTAAGGTATAATAATACTCTTGTATTTGAAAGGCCTTAGAATAAAAGTACTTGTGAATTGGGGTAGGCATATTCATTAAACACCAGTGTCATAGTTAAGAACTTTGCACTAGAAAAATTGGTGATTCTTCTGTGTGTAATTTCCAGTCAAATGGGAATAATTATGACCTAGTGATCTGTTCAATGCTTGTAATTTAAGGGCTTCCTACTTATCCCAGTATTGGCGCCCAAGTACACAACTCTTCAAATCAACCATCAAAATTAAGCTGCTTTAAAAATAAATAAATAAATAAATAAACAAACAAACAAAGAGCAGACAAAGCCTAGCCTCACCTTCATCCCTCCGGTTTCATAGCTCCATAAACAGCGCCGATTGCAGGCTTTAGAATAAAGGCTGTTTTTTGTTTAATTAGATGAATATTGCTTTTCTATTCTAGCATTCCTTTTTTTTATGTCAGTGATTGTTTAGCAAGTTATGATTAACAAAGCAAGCACTTCTCCTTGGCAAATTGTCATGAAAACATTGTCTGTGATAAAGGAAGTAAATTGAACGTGTTTGAGTTCTCCATGGTTGTCATATAAAACTTCTGGCTCGCAGCCTGGGTACCTCATTAATAAGTCAGCTTCATTATGTGGAGGAGAAGCACTTCATAATGAGGTAGCAGGTCTCGTAGAATGCTGCTGTGCCGAATTCTTTCTTCTGTGGCGTTGAGCACCGTTTGTAGCAGGAGATAGATTTCTCCTCTTAGAACGTGGATCAGGCAAGAAACAAAATGTGGCCTTTTAATACTGACCCATTTTAAATGCCTCTCAGCTCCTCACGCAAGGCTACTGTATTTACAGGGGACTTTCGCAAATGATCCTTTCACGTTCATATTAGTTCTGGTTTCTCCCCTTCCCAAAGTAGTTTTGGAGAAATATTTTAAGTGATCAACCGCATGGTTTATTTTTAGTGAGTGTGATGGGAGGTAGCTATCACCAAGTTAAGAGCCGCCAACTGATAGCAGACTTTATCAGCGGTTAGTGACTACTTAAGTCAGACCTTCGTTTGCATAACTGTGAAGATGATCAAGCATTTACCAAACCTCAGGTAATTCTTGTGGAGCCATCTACCCCCCTGGGGGTTATGAAGGTCATGAAATCAACTTGTATGGACTCCCTTAGACAGAATTTTCATTCAGACTCTGTAGGATAGTTGTGTGTGTTATAGAGCCTTGGTTTACGGTTCACCGATTGCCTCAAGGTAGAATCTCTTCAGGTTTATTCGTTATCTCTTGCTGCTGTAACAATAACTATAAACTCACTGCTTAAAACAACAAAAATGTATTACCTTACACTTCTGGAGGTCAGAAGTTTGAAGTCAGCTCCACTGGGCCGAAATCAAGGTGTCAGCAGCACAGCTGTTGTTCTGGAAGCTCTAGGGAAGAGTCTTTCCGCTTACCCCGGAGAGGGTAAGAAAGCTTCTGGGGACCACCTCCATTTCTCCACTCGTGCACGGCCCCTTTTTCCATCTTCAGAGCCACCTACATAGTATTTTCAAATCTCCATGACTCTGACCATCTTCCATCTTTCAAGGACCCTTGTGAGGACCCACCTGCTAACACAGGCTAAGCCCCCTATTTTAAGATTTTTAACTTAATCACATGTCTAAAATCTCTTCTGCTACGTGAAGTAAACATATTCACAGGTCCCAGGATTAGGACCTGGACATTTTTGGGGGCCCTTATCCTGGCAACCACACAGATAAACCTAACAATAGATTATCTGCCATTAAAATGTTTAGTCCTACATCCTGAATTCGTTCAAGTTATTGGGCTTAGGGTGTTAGAATTGTGAACATACGACAGACAGAACCAAATCCTGAAAATCAGAAATTGCTACTTAGTAAGCAGAGAGCTTTTTCAGGTTAATATGACAAATAAACTGTTTGTGAAATCACTGTGTTAAACATCTATCTCACTGGAGGGAAGAAAATGCTTGGGTCATTTCTGGGGACCCGTAAGTGCGTAGGTGTCATTTTGACTTTGATTAACCTTGTCAGTGTAAGACAGCTCAGAACGAGCCAGGACATGAAGAGCACGTTTCAACGAGATGGGACGGCGGAAGCAAGTTAGTTGATCTTTCTGAAATTTGCATGCTAGACACACATCTCTGTGTAGAAGTAATCCAGTTCCAAATTGGAAGTAAATTGCTTTGTATTCATTTTACTGAGTTTGGAAAACATGCGAATCGCATTTCCATGACAGTTGGGCATTTAGGAAGTGATGTGGTGTCTGGGAACAGCTCCCTAGGGCCGATTTGCATGTCAGGATCCTTACTGTGCGTCTGCACACTGTATTCCAACATCGTGGTGTAGAGCGTGCCCAGGCCAGGGCACCGTGGCACACGCATGATTGCCAGGCCAAGTAGATAGTTTAAGCTTCTTAAGAGTAGGGGTCAGGGAAGAAATTAGTTTACTTCTTTGTTAGCTTCCTTGGGCTCTCAAACACAACGTTTAATAAAAGTTTAAAAAATAAAAACAATGCTTAAATTTGGTGTAACAATTGTACACTTACTGACTTCCCTACATCTGCTCCTCCCCCAAATAATGGGTGGTTCATTCAGTCTCTTCCTGAGGTGGTGATTTAAAAAACCCCCAAAACGTAGGAATCATGTCATCCACCTGTTTTATAGCTCTGGGTGGGTTAGGCATACAGCATACATACACGAAGTGCTTATTGAATGGAATGTATAAAATTCACATTTTCAGTAGTAGGTCATAGCTTCTAATTTGCAACTAACATGTCTTCAAATGGCTGAAGACCTAAGAGCTGACAATTTTGACTTCACCCTTAGTAGTTGGCAGCCATGATGTCCAGACAGACATACTACTTTACTCCTCCTTTCGCTCCATAATGAGCAGGGTGGAGATGCGTGAGGCCTCTGGCAGGAAAGACGGACATCCCACTCCTGATCTGATAGCCTGGGCCTCTGACCTCTGTTTCCAAGCTCTGCTGGTGACAGTCCTGTACCTGGTTTCATACCGTGGCCTCTGGTGATGCCACTTGGTGACCAGCAGAGCCACCTTCTTCTTCCACACACTCTCTGCTCCTCACTTTGGGCAGTGCCCTGGTCGCCTCTGCAGTGGCTTCACTGTAAGGGCTAGGGAAAGGGGGCAAGGAGATGGAGGGAGAACTGGCCTGGTGCTGGAGTGGGGGTGGAGAATGAATGCGAGGAGATGCATTGGGGATTGCAAGAGAAGATGCGGGAAGGAGGCCTCCTGAGGGGATGCATCGGGGTTTGCAGAAGATGCGGAAGGAGGCATCCTGAGGAGATGCATCGGGGTTTGCAGTAGAAGATGCGGAAGGAGGCAGGCGAGGAGATGCATCGGAGATTGCAGTAGAAGATGCGGAAGGAGGCAGGCTGAGGAGATGCATCGGGGATTACAGGAGAAGATGCAGAAGGAGGCAGGCTGACATTAGATGCAGGAAGCAGGTGGGAGGGCGGCAGCGGGCAGGGAGAACAGAGTGCTGGGGCCTCACTCTGGAAACACCTACTGTGCTAAATATAACCAGTCCTCTCTAAACAGGCCTTAGTCATCCCTCCAGGACATCTGAGGTAGATGTGAATAGTAAACATTTTCAGGTTCTCTGTTCGGAAATCATCGTAAAGCTCTTTGTCACAGTCAGTGTTTCTCACCTGCCCTTCGTGTGCTAAATCCCTCCTGCCACCCCGTTTGTTGTAGACAGATATGCCTCTGACTACATTTCTGACGACGTAGTCCTTGGTGGCGTTTTCTCTGACTGGTTTGGGTGGAGGTTGCCTCTCTCTCCCCCTGACACTCTTAGGCATTTGCTCATGTCTATTGAGCACCTCTTCCTTTCTCATCATAACTACGTCCTTGATTTCTTATTTTTGTCTTTTTACATTTTTGGGTTCTTTTTCCATGTTGGTCTTTCTGTCTCCCATTTGGGTTTCCCTGGAAACAGGTGCTCTGAAGTGGGGCTCCCCCTGGGAGGCCTGAGAAAGCCCACTTTCTTCTTTCTTGGCCCTTCTAGGCTCTGAGCCCTGTGAGCGCCGGGAGGTCTGCCCCAGCGGGTGCCCCTGCCATGTGCACTCCTGCATGCAGGGGTCTTGCCAGTCCTCAGCCTTTCCGCTGGCTTCCAGGCGCCAGCGTCGTCCTGCTCTGTTCAGGATCCTTTCTGACTTCTGCGCAGGACAGCTGAGGGAAGCATTTCCTCCCATCCCCTCAGCAGGCCAGGGCCCCGTGTTGTCAGTTTAGGAAAGGCCAAAGAGGTGAGCCCTGAGCTGGCCCCGAATCTGGGCTGGAAGGCAGCTGTGGTGTTCAGGAAGTGGCCCCCTCAGGTCCGGGGCCCCACTAGGTGACCTGACCATTAACTGGGCTTGTCATCATTGTGCAAGGACCTTCTAGACCTGCCAGGATAGGGTCACATTGTGAAGGAGACCTTCAGTACCAGGTGGCATTGGTTTTTAGGCAGAGTGCTATGTGCTAGGGCCACAAATGTGAATAACACAGATTCCCTGCCCTCAAGAAGGCCCCTTCACTGGGAGGAGGCAAGAAATAATTCAGCAAATATCTATCAGGTGCCTGCTGTGTGCCTGCGCTGTTCTGGGTGCTGGGCCTGGGATAGGGCCAAGTCGGGCATGACTTTGTTCTCTTGGTTGACAGCCTAGTGGGGTCATAGACAGACAACTGTGATAGTCGGGTAAGCGCTACCATGAGCGGGGAGCACACAGGAGGGGCAGCTGGCTTAGTCTAGAGATTTCAGGAAACACTTCCTGGGTGAAGCAACAGCTCACTTGAACCCCGAAGACCGAGTAGGAGCCTGTAGGTCAGCAGCGCTGGGAAGTGAGATGCCATTAGAGTACACTGTAATAAATGCCATCTTAGAGAGCTGGGGTAGTCTGGGGGCCAATAGCTTGGGCGACCAGAAAGGGTAAGAACTCAGCATTAGCAGTAGACCACTTTGATGTGAAAGACTGTCCTCTGTTAAGACAATTAAGTGTATTTTCTGTTTGAAAAGGCGACATGCTTGATCTTTTGAAATGGAGAACCCACCCGGACAAGATCACAGGCTGTCTGTCTAAACTGAAAGAAATCGACGGCTCAGAGATAGTCAAGGTATCTGCCATTTCATGACCCCTCTCTTGGAAACTCGTGGGGTGAAGAATATTTGGAGGGGAAGGACAGACGGTATCTTACTGGTTCATGTACTTCTTCTTTACCTAACAGTTTCTGCAAGATACGCTGGATACCTTATTTGGAATTTTAGATGAAAATTCCCAAAAATATGGGTCTAGAGTGTTTGATTCTTTGGTGAGTTTAAATTCACTTTAATCATCTTAAGAATTTTGTCTCTCAATCTTGACTTTCCTAAGGCTGTTTCAGAAATGTGCACTTAATAGCATGAGAGTTCATTTAAAAAGAACGACAAAAAAATCTTGGTTTGCATTCAGCTTTATAAAACTGTTTTCTTTTTAGGTCCACATAATAAATTTGCTGCAAGATAGCAAATTTCATCATTTTAAGCCTGTGATGGACACTTACATTGAGAGTCATTTTGCTGGGGCACTTGCATACAGGTAAGCTCTTTCTTTTATAATTGGTTTAGAAGCAGGTTCTTCTGAGCTTTTTTAAGCAGAACCGACTTTATGAGAAAATTTTAAAAGGGAGCATACGAAGAAATGAAGCACAGCCGAAGTGTCTCTTGAGACCGTATCTTTCTTTCTCACACACCTTTTTTATTTAATGGCTAGAATTTATTTTGATCAAAAGAATAAAAAAGAACTTGCTGAATTCTATTCCTGAAACCTAAAATATAAAGTGTCTTCTTCTTGTCTCTATTTCACTTGCTATTCTTTGGTCTAAAATGTTGTTCTTTTCACTTTGGCTGCCAAGACCCCCATGTAATTACCCCACTCTTTGATGATTCGAGTTGTCTTTAAGAAAGAAATATGGGGAAACCAGCCTTTGCCGTCCTGTCTTTTAAAAGTCATTTTTTCACTTGTCTGTTAGTATTTGCTGAGTGCCTCCTGCGTGCCAGGCACCATACTTTGTGCCGATAATATGCAGACCTGGTCCTTGGCCACAAGCCGTGACGTCACTGGACCCTTTGCTACCAGCTGCCATTTTAACTGCTCACCCTTCCCCGTCAGCTCAGATTGTGCAAGTCAGGCTAAAGGCAAACGAAGATGATGTGCTTTAGCTAGTACCTGTCTTCATGCAGCCTAGTTGATAATCGCCAGGAGGCAACAGCTCCCCTCTCTCTGTCCTGTGCATCACATTCTCCCAGTCTCTGCTTAAATGATGTCCTGGAATGGACCCCAATGTTCCGACACTGCCCATGCTACTCTGCCCACGTTTTGACCTCACCCCTTAAGCCCCTGTATCCATGTTGCATGTACACAGTCGTCTGTTGCCAGAGGTGTGTGGCAAGAAAATGAAATCAGGGTTTTTGCCCTTTTCCCCCAATCTGTGATATACAAAAGGAGGCAGTCACATGCGCCTTCGATCCCGTCAACTTGGGCATTCCCTGTCAGGGCATGTTAAGGTTTCTGCCCCCAGGGTTGACATGAATGGGGTTATTTTGGTGGGACTTGATTTTTGCAGAGGGTGAAATGTAACAGCTGTAGTAGTTTTGAAATGTTGGCCCAGGTCTGCCACTTGCCTAAAGTGTGGCCCTGGCATGAGCGGGGAGTGGGGGGCGGGGGTGTCACTGCTTCCAACTGAAATTGTCTGTGGAAGCTAAAGAACAAGGCTGCAATTCCTAACACCCAGGTTGCCCAGGAAAGCAGGATAATCAGTGCTAACAAAACACATAAGGCCTGTGGAATCTCCTCGGGCTATGGGTGGTTGGGAATTCGCTGGCATATTATCTTCCCAATCGTGCGGCCAGCTTCACCCACCTCTGGGCACATGTGCGTATTCTTCCCTAAGAGACAAGAGGAGCATTTAACAAAATTACCCTGTTTCACAGAAACCAAGACGCAACCAACGTTAAAGGCAGCAGGGCTGCAATCTTGAGAATTGTTTTCAGAGGGAAGTGTCGATTCAATTTTTGTTTCTTTAAAAAATATAAAACCTGGCTTTTCTAGAAAGCCTCCTACTGACGCACACTGTGACATGAAGTCTTATTCTTCCTGGCTTTTCTGGAAGGTCTCCTCCTGAGCCGCGCTGTGATGGGAAGCCTGGTCAGAGAACCGGCTTGATAAACCCAGAGGGGTGTGACTGAAGTGGGGAAGTGTCGCTTTCATCCTTCCTCACACCCCCAGCTGTTTCCATGGTCACGGGGAGGAAATCCCCATCAGCAGTTGTCCAGGACTGGCCGTGGCAGCCGTCCTCCCAGGCCCTTCCTTGGCCAGGGTCCTGGCGCTGGATTGGCGTTCACCCGTATGGAAGCTTCGCCAGAAACGGCAGGGCGGGTGGACTATGCCCAGCTTGAGAGGAATCGCATAGGGAGCAAGCATTGTTTCTCCCTTCAGTTCAGAAAAAGGGGTGGCGATGTTAATGTGCAGACTTGGTGAATTTATTATCTTATAACCATTGGGTAGGAAAAGGTGAGCACTGATGGGAAGAGAAGCCTCCTCATGATAAAAATCAGCGACTGTGGGCATCTGATTGGGCATAGACCTTGTACCTTGAGCCTATGTCTGCCTCTGTTTTAGAGATCTCATCAAAGTGCTCAAGTGGTATGTGGACAGGATCATGGAGGCTGAGCGGCAGGAACACATCCAGGCGGTGCTGAAGGTGAGAGCGCCGTGCGGACGGCAGGTGGCGGGTCCCGCGGGCTGTGGCGTGGAGCGCGAAACGCCGGGCCTTCCGCCACGCAGGCAGCAGCTGGGGGGTTGCGCGTTGCTGACATTCCAGAGCAAGGGCCTCAGCCACTTCATGGCTGCCCTGGAGTTGGAGTCGCTTTACTGCTCACCCACCGGAACCTGCTCGGGGTTGAATCCTTCCCCCTCGGGGCTCCAGAGCGCCTGACGTGGCGTCTAGGAGTGGCAGGAGGGAGGGTTTATGACAAGAGGACAGGTGGGCAGCTGGCCTGGCAGCTCCTGGCTCCTGCTTCCGTCTCCCTGACAGAGGCCGTCTGAGGACCATCTGTCTTCACCTTTCAGAGAGAATAGGGTGGCTTAGCGGGGATCACAATGCACAGACCTGAGGTTTGACAGGGTCTCACGGTTTGGCGGTGTCCACATCCTGTGCCTTGTGTGTTCGGCTGTCTGTGGAGACGCAAACGTGTTCAGGAAGAGGGCACGTCGTTGAAGGGACGGTCCAGTAACGGCCCTGCTCGCCCTTTTTTTCCTTGTCGTTGAGTACCGCCCTGTCGGACGTCAGCAGATGGAAGCAGGCAGATATGCATTTCATAAAACCAGCTTCTCGTTAATTATAAATTTGGCATTTGGGCCTGATTGGAGGTACATGCTAAGTGGCAAGAATACTTACTAGCAAAGCAAAATCGTTTTTGAAAAACAGACTCTCTTTGTTAGCTAAATTGAAAAACCCCTAAGGATCAAAAACATTTAGTATTCATACCTCTGGAGAAGGACATAGAATTTTTATATTTATTTATTTATTTATTTATTTATTTTTCCAATTGCAGCTGACATTCAGTATTATGTTAGTTGGAGATGTACAGTGTGGGGTTAGACATTTATATAATTTACAACGTGGTCCCCTTAATGAGCCTGGTCCCCACCCGACACCACACACAGTGATCACAATATTATTGGCTATATTCTCTATGCCATACTTTACATCCCCATGGCTATAATCATATAACTGCCAATTTGTACTGCTTCACCCCCTCACTTTTTTCATCCTGCTCCCCCAATCCCCTCCCCCACGTCTGGCAGCCATCAGTTTGTTCTCTGACGTCAAATTTTTAAATGAACTATGCGTTTTCCCACTCATTAGGCCTCAGAGGAAAATGGCTCTTCCCTTACAAGTAAAATGCTGTTCAAAAAAAATCTCATGAGCCCTTTGTGTTTAAATTAGTAAGTTAATGTTGTACCATGGTTTCCGTGTTTGTCATTGTGAAAATAAGTACTGTTGAAGATAACTTTCTAAAAATTTCGTTTCCAGGCACAAGAGTACATTTTCAAGTACATCGTCCAGTCTCGAAGGCTGTTCTCCCTCGCCACCGGCGGCCAGAATGAGGAGGAATTCCGCTGCTGCATCCAGGAGCTCCTCATGTCCGTCCGCTTCTTCCTGTCCCAGGAGAGCAAAGGGTCTGGAGCGCTATCCCAGTCACAGGTCACTGTTCCTCCTCGCTGCCGAATGGAAGGGAGATGGGCAGAGTGGATTTGTTTTTACACAGCAGCTTCATGAATGTTATCTCCCCGAGAAACCCGTAGGTCCAGTTTATATGTGTAGCTTCACTGACTTCGGGCAGATTTTAGAAAACACGTCCCCAGGCTCTGAGCGCCCACAGAGCGGGAGCTGGTGGCCTGTCCTCAGCCTCCCCTCGTGCTGCGTGCACGGCCTCTGGGTTTGCACAGCCTCCGTGCTTTTCCAGCACATGCTGCTGAGGAAACGGGCTACACCATCAGCCTTGGGAGAAAGTGTCACGAGAGCCGGCCTGTGAAGTGCTTTCCCCAAGCCTTGCACGGCGTTTTAATCCATCCACATGACACGCGTTCTGTGGGCCTTGGCTTACCTCACGTTGTTTTGTTTTCTTTACCTGGATCCTCACTGTCCTGGGACTGACTTAGGTGACCGGGGCTGAGTGGCTGTCGCCCTGTTCTGGTACATGGGGCGTAAGCTCCACACGGTTTGTTTAGAACGGGATGCATCCACGTTCCAAATATCATGGCCTCGGACGTGTTCTGAGAGAGAATTCTGAGTATCTTTCTCTGCATTTCTTGATCCTCCTTGTACACTTTGGATCCTGGTGACTGGGTTATAAACCTGTCAGATGGACAAGGAGCCTCTGCGAGCCTCCCCCGGGAACTAGAGACTTAACGATGGTTAAAAATGGGATATTGGAAGACGACACTCGACCCCTCCGAGGATGGCTATAATTTGGTGCCCTTTGACATTTGGAAGGCATTCTCTGTAAGGGCGAGACACCAGAGATAGACCAGCCCGCCCATAATAGTGCCGTGCTTTTTCGGACTGTTTGGGGACCGTTCTTGTTACTCTCTTCTTTGCTGAAGTAGACTGATCTTCCCTCTGGGCAAAGAAACAGTTCAGACGCTTTTAGATTCTTTAGGCCTCTGTCTTCAAGGGCACGTTTCCTGCCCTTGAGAAACTCACCAGAGACCTCAATGTCAAACTGCCCATGAGCCCAACGTACTTTCAGACACGTGGAGAGGACAGTCCAACAAACTAACCATGTATTCTTTCAGATCAGAGCTCTCAGTTTGCCACTTTCACAAAAGCTGTGGGACATCTGAGTTTTCATTTTGAGATTTTTCGCTTCAAACCTTTACCAGTTACAGGGACAATGCTTAACCTAATTCACATCTGAAAAATGTTCTCTTTGAAGAGTAACCCTAAGTCGTGATTTCTCAATGAGATGCCTTGCTAGGGACTCGAGGTGTTTTTTCTTCTTTAAGGGTAGAGAAACATTTTTTTTACCTTGGTTTTGCTTCCACTGGCAGTGGGATCCTGGCAGTTGCCCTGAGATGACCTCAGCCACTGGGTGCAGCCGCGGCTCAGAGCTGGTCTCCTTTCATCTGTCTAACATATTGATTTGGTTCTCTAAGTTCTGTCCCTCACTCAAGGTAGTGAAACAATTTGAGCACCTTCGTAGAATCATATTTGATTTTTCTTTTTTCTTTTGTTGTTCCCTTAGCATTTTATCAAGAGATAGTATATAAAATGTGTACATAAAGTTGCTGAGTATCTTCATAAACTCGATTGAACTCATTCTCTAGTATTTTGTGCAGCATCCCATACTTGTAAATTTTGATGTGCTAATTCTACTTTAGTTGGATGCTAAGAGAAAATCTGTATAAGGTGATGGAGGGGCTCGCTGTCTCATTAGGCCGTGAGGACTTTGGCCCTCTGTGTTCGGGAGGAAGCGGACTGGGACACACCTCTTCCCATCCCAGATTCCCTTTGGAGCCCACGTCTTCTGACTGACCCAGGGTGTTGCTTTTCTGTGGCTGCGTAACAAATGGCCACACACTTCATGGTTTTAAACAGCACCCACTATTAGCTCACAGTTCTGTAGGTCAGAAAGCTTGGTTGGATTTTTTGCTTCATGCCTTCCACAGCCAAAATCCAGGCGTTGGCTTTGATGGCCCATGTGGGGGTTCTGGGGAAGAGTTCACATTCAGGATCTTTCAGGCTTCTGGAAGAAATCGGTTTCCTTGTGTTTGTAAGACTCAGACTCATGTTTCCTGTGGGCTATCAGCCAGGGTTGGGGGAGGAGGAGGGTGCTCTCAGCTTCCAGAGGCCACTCACGGTCCTTGGTATGTGGCCTCTCCATCCTCAGAGCCAGCAAAGACATGTCATGTCAAATCTCTCATCTCTCTGACAGCTCCCACGAGCCAGAGAAAACTTTTGTTTTAAGGGCTCTTGTGATTAGGTCAGGCCCATCTGGATAATCTCCATATTTTAAGATCCGCTCATCAGTAACCTTCATTATATCTGCAAAATCCCTTTTACCATGTAGCGTCATGTAATCGTGGGAACAACAGGGGACAAAGGCCACAGGGTTCACCTTAGAACTCTGCCTACCACACCCAGAGCCAAGCACATCCATTGTTTGCAGTTTCACTCTCCGGCTTCCTTAAAGGCAAACCCCAGTTTCCTTGCTCCATTTTGCATGATGTCCACCTGGGCTACAGCTCAGGGCAGTTCCATCTCCCAGGAGCAGGGCAGCCATCCTGGCTGTCTTTCGTGTTCGCTCAGTACACGTTGCCCCGCAGACCTGGCCAGCCTGGTTCTAGCAAGGGGGGCATTGAGCCCTCCTGGCCCAAGCCCAGCGCTCTGATGACTCTGTCCTTGGGAGCCCCGCCCTGGGCACGACCGCCCTGACCTGCCCCTGTTTCAGTGTTTCCTGATTTTCCCGCTCCATGGACAGATCCTGACCCTGGGAACCCCGGGGAAGAGGGGGCACGACAGATGAGTTGAGGCCCAAGACCCTGCCCCAAATTCTGAATAGTTATATTTCTGTTTTTCTTTGTATCAGAAAGGTCAAATGAAATGAATTTTTTTTTTCTTCAGTAAAAGCACTTAGCTTAGATACTCGGTACAACTGTCGTTTGGCCCTCATTGGAAGCTGTTTATTCCTTCATCTTTTCTAATATATGTGTTGCAGGCACATTTGAATATTTTTTGTTGTTGTTTTTTGTTTTTGTTTTTGTTTTTTTTTTTAAGTAAAGAGGTATAAAGAAAGAATTAGTGGGTAAATTAAAGGATCCCTGAGGAAAACCAATTTAGTTGACTTTTCAATAATCAGAAAGCTGGGATCATTTTATTTTTTTAAATTTCATCTGTATGACTCAGCTCTTTGCAGAGTGACATGAAGGTTATATAAACACAGCTTTTAACAGGGAATACCAAGTTATTCATTTTAAACTCTCAAGTAACTCTATGATTTTTAAGAGTCCAGAAGAACATAGCTGTTGACTGTAGCACCTTAAGCTTTGGATGCCTCTGGCATCAAAGACAGGTCTTGGCTTCTAGGTATTTTTGCTGCAACGTTGTAGATAAATACCAAAATCCGTGGGTTTAAATTCAAATCAGGGCCGGCCGAGTGGCGCGTTGGTTAAGAGCTGGCTTGGGACGCCAGAGGGCCCCGGTTCGGATGAGCGCAATGATGGTGCCAACTTGGGCCAGTGAAGCAACATCCTCCACAACTAGACTGAAGAACAAAAGGACAGCAACCTGTCTGTTCCCCATCCTCCAATTTCCCACTAAAAGTCTTAAAAAAAAAAAATTCGAATCATCAACACACGTAGACTCAGCCTACTTTCGGCTGGTGTCAGATCTCATGGGTGAGGCAGGCAGCACTGTAATCTCAGCAGTTAGAACATGTGCCGCCTTCCCTTCTGGGTAGAGGCGAGGCTGGCCTGTTCTTCCTTCCATCGCCCTCTTTTTGTGGCATTTAAAAGACTGAGTTTGTCTGTTTTGTTGTACCAGCCTAGCCCCATATTTGAAGTATGCCCCTTAGGGTTTGATATTAGCACCTTTTTTTCTTTTCTGAAAAAATGATTTGCAGGTTACTTTCTTTACGTAAAGCATGTTATTCTTAGTACACACAGTTCAGGGTTTGCAGTAAATCTTGAAGCAACCTAAGGTGTTGTTCTCATGATCTTTTCATTTTACAGGTGATGAAACTGAAACCTAGGGAGCTAACATGACTTGTCCAAGGTCACCGAGTTGATTAGAAGCCAAGCAAGTGCTATTATTCCCATCATTTAGGTCGTCTGATGCCATGCCCTGGTTTTTCCTTCAGTCATAAACCGAGTGCTGTAGGGAATGAATGTGTTTGGTTTCTTAAAAGAAAAGAAAATTTAAACGAGCACTTCAAAAAGAAGTGTAAGTGTCAGCATCTCAGGGCTTGGTCGAGTTTCTTTCCGTTGGATCATCCTGCAATTTCCTGGTTTCGTGGGGGTTTTTTGCCCAATCACTTTGCTCATATCAGTGATTTCCCTGAATTTCTCAGCTTTCATTATGTTGCACCTTTGTACATTTCAACAAATGGCCTGATTTTGCTATACTTTTTTTTTCTTTTTTTGACTTTAGGCTTTTAGATTTAGGTACCAGAAACGTTTGACATTCATTTTCCTACCACTCAAAAGTGTTTGTCACAGCCTTCCACTCACTGACATTTTATAGCTAGTTTCTCAGGGCATGTCTGGGAGTTGACTGAGGACGGAAAAGGGGCCACAGGTTAAACCTGACAAGCTCAGGAGACTGAAAACAACCTCACAGGGTGGTCTGAACATATAAATTCCTAACTAATAGCGAATCCTGGCCTGTGGTCACGTCCTAGGCCTGTAGCTTCCTTGACAAAGGTTAGTCTTGACCTTAAGTGAGCCTGTCTGTTGTCTTTTTGCATCTAAGATAATATACCCTTGGAATATCAGAATAATCCCTTCCCGGACCCCCCCAGGGGGCACAACCCACCACACCAGAGCCAGAAACGACAAAATCCCTCATTGTTATCTTGTCTCCCAAATACTATGTGCTGTAAATGCTATTAACTATGCTGTACCCACCAATGTAGAAGAAGTGTGTCTCCCTCCATTTTACTTTTTGTCCAATCCCAGAGATTTCCCCGCTCCCTGCTTAGCCTTCTCCCGTCCCCCTAATCTACCACCAGTGGATTTCATGTAACCCTCCTCCTTGGATTCTAATGTATAAAATAAGTTGCAAAATGACCGTTTTCCAGAGCATTTTCTCAATCCGTTGAGACCTTGCTTCCCGGCAAGTGTCGTCAGTTTGGCTCAAATAAACTCTTACACGCTTTCTTTTCTTAGGCGGGATGTTTCTTCTTTAACACGCCTTCCGTTTCTTTCCTTGAAGGCTGTGTTCCTGAGTTCCTTCCCAGCCGTGTACTCAGAGCTGTTGAAGCTCTTCGATGTGAGGGAAGTGGCCAGCTTGGTCCAGGACACGCTGGGCAGCCTGCCGACCATCGTGCACGTGGACGACGCCCTCCAGGCCGTGAAGCTGCAGTGCATCGGCAAAACCGTGGAAAGCCAGCTGTACACCAACCCAGGTGGGGTGCTGCGTCTCCCGGATGAAAGGGTGTTTCTAGCAAACCCTTCTTGACCCTGGTAGTCATAGGGCAGCAGAAGTAATTTCAAAAAGGAAGCTGAAAACCACTTTCTCAAAAGCCTTGTGTGTTGGGATAGTAGAATAAATTAAGTAGCCAAATACAAAAGCATGGCTATTAAAACGTTGGTTCTAGAAAGAATGAAAGCCCTAATGATTAGATTATTGTTTCCCATCACAGCAAGTTATGGTGTAGGGTATGCTTTCTTTTCTTGTTATACATTTCATTTCATTACTTTTTTCTATGTTCAACAAAATTTAACATTCTCTTTCAGAGATGCTTTCAGGGACCCTATTTGATCCTTGTTTGTTTGTCTCTTAAAAGTTTTCAATTAACTTGTGCTCTGAAACTGGATGGAAGTTTTGATGCATTGTCTTTTTCTATTTTATCCTAATAGCACGTGACTAATTTAGCAGTTACGAGACTGATTTTGTCGTATGTCATTAAACCCCATTGCCTCTTGTTTTCCCTGAGATAAAATATAACCTAATTATAAAGTTTAAGAAGTTTCTATCAATATTACTAAATTAAAAAAGATTCATTCTGTTGAAAATTATCTTTCCATGAGTGCATATGGGGGTATAATATTTTTGATACAGGGTTTCAAATTAGTGAACAAACCTTCTTTTCACATTCTTTTATTGTAAAACATTTTAGACATACAAGCAATCATAGAGCAGAATGAGTAAATCATTAACAAATATAACAATTGTAGGTATTTGCTTTAGGTCTTTTATTTTTAAAAAAATATCATTATAAATAAGTAAGTAAATAAATAAGTAAACAAATAAATCTCTATATATCCATTCCCTACTCTGTATATTCACTTCCATCAGAGAAATTCCCACTATCTGAGATTCCATTTCCTGTTTTCCATGCCTTTATTACATAGATAAAAATACATATTATTTTTTCATCTTTTCAAATTTTTTCATCTTTTAGTCTTTATATGATGACATTATGTTGTATGTCATTCTGTAGAGTGCTTTTTTTTACTAATATTATACTTCTGTATCCATGCTACTAGATGTAGCTATAGCTTGTTCACTTTTTTACTGTTGTATAGTATTCGCTAAATGAGTCCATCGTGGTTAATTTATATTTCCTCCTGTGGATGTACTGTATGTTTTTATTTATTTATTTTTTCTGGAACAATGCTTCCACCAATGGAAAAGTAAGTTCAACCTTCTGGTTCCTCCCCATAAACACGCACCTCATCCTGGAGGAAAGACTTTTCTTGGAGTGGCTGTCACACTCAGCCTGACATGGGACCTCAGTTTGACTAGAGTACCGAGT